AAGCAGATTATATTCTACTAACTGAATCATACAGAATGGATGTTTTTATGCATGTAAAACATATCTCGCTACTGACATCCTAAGAAAATATACCTACTTACCATCATTTACTTGTGCGTTTGCGCGTCGTTCCGTTGTAGGTTGTGTGCACGGAGAAACGCCCAGGACTATCAGCGCGTCAGTGCATCACAGCTCAAATCACACAATAAGTTTAGTTTAGCCCTCCCGCAGCCTGTTATTGGTTACGTCACCTGACGTGGTTTTACGCAAATAAAACCTAATCTCTGGCTGATACATCTCCTTGTAGGGTATAAACAAAGGGGGTGAGTTGTTGTGATATTGTATGGTCCATTTCCGATTTGCTACAGCGCTAAAGTTTTAAAAAGTATTTGCATTGCTTAACGTCGTACTTAGTAGTGGTCTAAGAACAGCACGGGGGTCTGTTAATAATAAGTCTGGACCAAACAATCCAGTGATCAACAGCATGAGCATCGATCCGAGCAATTGGGATACGATGACTCGTGTCAACCAAGTCAGCGAGCCTGACTTCGCGATCCCGTTAGTCACCTCTTACGACAAGCATATGTTGCTGACCAATTCCAACCCGGATCTGCATGGGTTTCATTCATTTACATAGCACGACAAGCAGAGCTTGCAGGGGACCAATTCTATCTAAGATGGCCCATGTATTCACCAAATAGCCACCTATTTATAGCAATGGATGGGTGACTTTGAAAATTAATTTGTCTATGTTGACATGTTTCTGATGGCGGGGCAAGGTATTCATCATTTTTATACCCCCTTATCATGCACATGTGAGCATACGTAGGTAAATATACATAAAACTGACTGAGTTTGGTTTTACGCCGCTTTTAGCAATACTCCAGCAACAACACGGCGGGGACACCAGAAATGGGCTTCACACATTTTACCCATGTGGGGATTCGAACCCGGGTCTTTGGCGTGACGAGCCAATGTTTTAACCACTAGGCTACCCCACCGCCCTTAATATACATAAACAAGTCGTGTAAACGCGTTTAGTATATTTCCCGCCGTGATATTGCTGGAATATTGCTAAAAGCGGCGTAAAACCAAACTCAGTCAGTCAGTCAGTTTAGTATATTTACACCAGGAACATACTGGTATCATGTCCGGAGCAGCGAATGTAAATCTATACAATGGAAGCAACAAAACACTTTCCACATTCATAAGAAATCTCTGCCCAAAGCTGGGTCGATTGTACATATATGTGACTATATCATATAAGCAATATTTGTTTCAGCAGTATTACAGCTGTATGATGTTGTTTGTAAACAAATCGGGTCTAAACCAGACAATCCAGTGATTGTCACAATGGCACCATGCGATACGATGACAGAGCATGTGTTAATGAATCCCTTTGACAGTGATGATACCAGGTGTTCGCGAAAAGATGTGCGTATCCTGCCCCACCAGTGGCACAAAAATGCTAATTCTAGTCATTTGTTCACCTGAAATAATTCGGGAACGTATAAGTCAAAAAAGGGAATTGCATCGGACATCAGTTCTGTCACTGATACATCAAATTTGGAAATTTCCTCCTCATGTCTACCATAAAACTTCTTGAAAGCTTTACTGAGGCCTTGAATGTTGGGACCTTGATCAAACAACTTCTGAGCAAGAGTGGCATGACAAGTCCAACTTTGTACCGTATGTATATTTTTATGCCAAAGCCAGTGTCGATGTGATAAGTATTATATCTGTTGATTTAATTTGACAACAATGAACAGATGGGGAACCTGTCTGTATTCACAGACAGTGTTTTGGATTTCAAGAACATTGAAATTTGTTGCGTCTTCCGAATATATCTGTAAGGTATATAATATTATTATAATATATTTATACAAGAGTTAATTTGTATGTGGAAGCATTGTAAATTTACATAATCGTACGTATGTATGTGCAAACGCAATTACGTGAGTAAATGTGTGCATGTGAAGTATATGTCACGGTTAAAGAGTCTGAATGCGATATAAAACCAACATGCTTGTAACAAGCCTCATTCACATGGACGAAAAATACTGATGCTAGTAAATTATCTCACGGTGTATATATACTCACGTGAGCTAAACAATATTTACATTGTGGTCACATGACGTTCATATGTGGCCGAAGAAAATGTGTGTAATAAAAGCAAAGGGTTTATAATCATTTGAGAACTACGAATGTGTCCTTCAAAGGAAAGAGTTCTTGACTGATGAAACATCACGCAGTACTTAGTACATGTGCTATGCGTAAAGAAAACATCACATTTTTGTTTCACTTTCGTTTTCTATTGTAACCAAATATCACAGAACCAATTGTCCCACACTGGTAACTGTGATATGTCTTCGCCATAACTTAGTAAAATGGATTAGCTTGTCTACTAATCGGGTGTCTGACGTCATATTGTGAAACAGCCTTTCCAGCAAATCCCGCTCCACTATGTGCGACAGGTCTAAAACAGCCTATGTTCACAGTGGAGAGAGAAAAGAAACCTACCGCTTTCAAACAAGGCATCGCTTGCAGCAGGGACCTGACTCCAAGTGATTGGCTGTTTAACATTCATGGCAAAGAGCGTCCTTTCCCGTCCATTTTGAAAAATAATATTGCTAATACTAATATACGGGTAAGGCGGGGTGGGATCGACGTTTTTGTGTTTTCAATGACAGTTGCGGTCGTCATTCGTCGCGATTCAACCACTTGACATCGTTTTTGATAAACAGAGCTACACGGATTTTCTCCGTCTCGTGTTAAAATTTCTCTTCTCCTGCTAACGCTTTCTCCTCTCGTCCTAACGCTTTCTCATCTCGTGCTGTCGCTTTTTCGTCTTGCCTAACGCTTTCTCGTCTCGCCCTAACTCTTTCTCGTCTCGTGTAAACGCTTTCTCTTCTCGTCCAAATGCTTCTCTTCTCGTCCTAACGCTTTCTTGTCTCGTCCTAACGCTTTCTCCTCTCGTCCTAACGCTTTCCCATCTTGAGCTGTCGCTTTCTCGTCTTTCCTAACGCTTTCTCGTCTCGTACAAACGCTTTCTCTTCTCTTCCTAACGCTTTCTTGTCTCGTCCTGACGCTTTTTTCGTCTCGTCCTAACGCGTTCTCGTCTCGTGCTAACGTTTTCTTGTCTCATCCTAAGGCTAACTTGTCTAGAGCTAATGCAGTGTGGATCATCACACTTGAGATAGCTAATGATAAACAGAGGTTTATAGATGCACATGACTCGGACTCGTCTCCTGCTATCACTTTCCCGTATCGTGTTATGGCTTTATCGCTATCGTGGGCGTAAGTCAAGTCTATAAACCGATGTCCCGTCTCTGCCTCCATGACTCTATTAGTATACTAACCAGGCTAGACAAGTATCAATATCTGTCTCTCTGATCAGGAACATAGGAAGTTAGTAATAGTGACATATAACGAACATCGATTACGATTTAAAAACTGGTGTGTTGCGATAAATTAAATAAACTCACCAGCAACTCTTTTCGCTCGCTGGTATCACTTGTCAAAGCCATAGTCGAAGTTAGGTTCTCTTCACTTGAGAACGTGGTTGGTAAACAGAGGTTGTACCTGCGTACAACTATTTCCTGAACTGCGATCTACCCCACTTCGTCGTATAGGCACCAGTGAAGCTTGAATCATAGATTTGTGTATTATCTGAAGGACAGGTTGATGTTTTTTCTCGACATGGCTGCATAATGGTATTCCACACGTAGTTATTTGACTAATGTAACGGTTATCTTATCGATATACATGTATCAACGTTCCGTCTTTGAAATCACTAGCCATCTGCTTGTATTATCATCGATCACGTGTATTTGGATTGTTGATTGCTGCAAGGTGATATAGGGTGTATCAGTGTGTCGTAATACTACTGTAACTAATACGTTCTTGTGACGAGGTGTAAATATACCGTTATCGTGATTAAAATAAACGTTACGTCATGTCACTAGCGCGGCCAACATGCGGCTCCTGTTGCGGCAGATCAGTGACTCAGTGAGGTCTAATAACTAATGCAGGGTACTAATTATGTCATTGTCTCAGTCTGTTTTCGCATTTTTACTGTCTAGACGAAGACAAAATTTATCATTCAAAACTGTGTTCCACAGGAGATATTGCTTGTGTGAAATCACACGATATCTCCTAGGAGATAACGTTTTCACAGTAGATTTTGTACAATGCCCTGACAATGCTATGACGTCATGAACTTGATGACGTCACAATGACATGACATCGCTGCACTGCAAGTCTAATGGCAGTACCCTGTTCAGTGGTGCTAAGTATTCATTGAAAATTAAAGAAGAGTGAGTTTGGATGATAAATAGAATCTCACCCTCGTGTCTTCTGATATCAAATATATATCAACACTCGTTAATACGAGTAACTTTATCAACTCGTGGTGATATATTTGATATCAAAAGACACTCCATTAAGATTCTCTATGTATCATTTGGAACCTACGGCGGAATTTCTGGGACATTCGGTTGGAAAACATGACTACAATCTTAATCTATTAAAGTCATGAAAAATGTTAATGTTATTCTTCCGAAGTTTAATTTGTTGAAAAAATGAATATCTGTCAGTAATTGGAACTTTCGTACATTTGAAAACAAATATAATGCCATTTTTACTCCGTGGATTGGAAATAATGGGGTATTACACGGAAGGTCGTTTAGTATCCTCTGTGTTTCGCCGCACTCAGTAGGATTCCAGTTATGTGACGACAGGCTGAAAATAATCAAGACTGGACCAGACAATCCAGTGATCGACATCATGAGGATCGACCTACGCAATTGGGATACGATGACATGTGTCGACCAAGTCAGCAAGCCTGACCACCCGATCCTGTTACTTGCCTCTTACGACAAGCATGGGCTTGCTCAATGCCAGTTCTAACCCGGATCTTCACGGGTACATGGGTTAATGAAGATGCAATGTTGTTGAGGCACCAAACTCAATCGAAATCAGAATGCTAAAATCTAAACACATTCTTTCAAATGTTTATTCATGAACATTTCCTACAAATGTGACACATAAATTATTAATACAACAAGTATTTCTCGCTGATTCAGTGGTAGCTAACATCACATAGGGATAAATCTAACTGTACGCGTCTCCAAAAGTCATATAAATCAATAATTATCAAATTTGGAAAAACGCCAGTTAACTGGTACTACAGACTTCTTTGATCAGGTGACGAAAGCAATGGACAAGTGATGTGTGCAAGACACACAAGTGTGTTTTTCATTACTATCTTCCAGTCGGTTACTAGCCACGGGCGGGGCTGAAGCTGTGGCGGTGGCCTAGTTCTTTGCCAGCCACACCTCATTATGCCTGTTAGCTCTCCTGCTGGGTGGGTCAAACTCGGCCTTATAGAAGTAGCTGTTGTCGTACAGTGTGGGGTCGCCAATGGCACTTCTCAACTGGGACAACTGGGTGAGAGTTTGTTCCCTGCGAGCAAAGCCGTCAAAATGCCTGAAGCAAATAAAGTACATGTCATACACAGAACGAGAACAAAGATCTCACTGTCAGCAGTTTTCTGGGTTATTTTAGGTTCTTATAGTTGATCTGTCGTAACAACATTATAGTATCAAAAATACCAAAAGCCATCCTTTCGTTTCTTGCCCTTGTTGGATCTTTTAGCTAATGTAAATTATACATAACATCTCATTGTAAACTCTGAAATTGTTCGTTTCGTTTCTTTTACCTAGTTTGTATCATACATAAATATCCTATTGCTAGCCCAGACAATTTTCGTTTTGGTACTTATTGCTTAAAAATATCATAATTTTAAGCTATGAAAATGTTCGTTAAAGGCTTTCTTATTAGTGAGCGTTATATGATTGATGTGAAAAGGGGTATCCGTTCATATCAGGAACTTTTCACTAAACGATAATATATCCTTGGTGCGAACGGTATCTAAGTTCGTTTTATTCAGTTATTATCCCAAATAATATCATCAGTGTGAAGAGGACACCAACTAGTTCCTACTTTTTTACTGAATGTAGTGCAAGCATCAAGTAGTAGCAACAGTAAGCATGTCATCGGTTCCCAATTGCGTAGAAGAGGCTCATGATGTTGATCATTGGAATGTCTGGTCCAGATTCGACTATATACATACCACCCCCATATAGCTGGAATATTGCTGAATGCAGCGTTAACGAACTAACCAACAGGCAACTTGAGCGCCGTGTTATTTAGATATCGGCTAGAAAATACACAATACTTTATGGAATAAAATGAGCCGAGCATTAAAAATACAGTATTTTTACCCAGAAGCCATTGTGGACAGTGAATCACCATTTGTGTGATAGCCTGAAGTACAAGTCATACATCATGGAAGATGTATTTCAAACTGATATTTACACGAGAGTATTGAACCTGAAGGGTTAAAGTCGATCAGGGTCCAGTTTCACAAAGCGATCTTAGCGCTACGGCTGTCTCTATGTTAAAGTATTGGAGCTACGACAGCCGTAGCGCTTTGGTCGCTTTGTGCAACCCGACCCAGAGCGCCGTGTTTGGGTGTACAGAGAAAGGCGCGCAAGAAAACTGCGATTTTGTGATAGATTCCTAGATTCGCCTTATTATGGGTGTTTTAGGTTTCCATGGTCGTGGTTTTCATCCATGTGGATATCGGTTAAATTGTGCTTCTCTTTGGGCTTTCAGTCCACATCAAACTGTGATACAACTCAAATAATTTGCATATGCGTTAAACTCACTTACTCACTCACTCAATCATTCACGCACGCACGCACGCAAGCACCCACTAACTCATTATTGAAGCTGTCTGGTTGTGCCTATTCGGAATACTCTCTCACCTGACGTACACCTCCTTTGCAGGCCATTCAACGATGGTAAGGTCAAGGCCAAGGGGATTGGGCGTATTCTCTTGCATGGTGAATGGCACCATAAAGAACATAGTCAGAGACCCATGTTGAAATACTGGAGTTTCTGGTTCAACCCTGGTCACCACTGGTGCGGTCATGGGGATTCCGATACCTTGAAGTAAGATTATAAAAACGGTGACGTTAGAAATACGTTATATGACGTTGTCAGAAAGGAAGTGTTTGGAAGGCTCTTGTAATGTCAACTGTAATGTTTCAAGTAGCAGTAGCAGCATGAAACATTTGTCTTTCCATACCCAACATTTCATTATTTAAGACTGATTTTGTTTGTGTTTTTGTCTTTGCATTGCACATATCAACAAGTACGTCACATTAGTTTGACACCTACTTTGGTCATTCGCTCCATGGATGTAGTCATACAGCTTCAGAAACAGCGACCTCTTGACCGCCAACCAGTTGCCCCTAGTGACCACACCTCGTGCACTCACCCACTTGGATGGTCCGTACCGCCGCAGTTGGAACCCCTTAAACACAGGATAATGCACCTCACGGGTAAGTACAGGGAGTGATATCTGACAATATATGCGACAAAAACCTATCCACATACATAACAAATTTCTCCCAAAAAGCAGGGTCGATTGTTTGTTTGTTTGTTTGTTTGTTTAATGCCACAGTCAGCAATATTACAGCTGTACGACGGCGATATGTAAATATTTTAGTCTGGACCAGTAAATATTTGAGTCTGGCCCAGTAAATCTTTGAGTCTGGACGATCCAGTGATGGATATCATAAAACACGATGACGGAACATGGGTCTATGAATCACTGTCAAATATCAAAGTGAATGCACGCGTCAAATACATGCAAAGGCGAGTCAATCGTTCACCTGAAAACAATCCAAAAGCCCATGTATGAAATGAGCTTCAGTATGCTCCCTCTCACAGGGGAGTATATCTCGTTAGTGTTATCAAATAGTCTGATCTGAACAGAAATTATAGTATTTCTAGATCAACGTAGGATCATTCATAATACAAATATAAATATATTTGTATAAATAGTTTTAAATGATACTTTAATTAATAATTCGATATTTCCATTAACAATCAGAAAAATAGGCCCCACTTAATAGGTCGTGGACAAAAGGTATTTTCTCTTATATAGAAATATAACCAAATACAAATTCTGGATCGAATTGAAGCATCTCACCTCTCCCTCCCGAATGACCTCGAAGGTTGCGCAGTCACTCCTATCACACGATACGGAAGTATGCGGCAAGGCACCCACGCAGGTTGCCATAAGAACAAAAACTATTCCGCACTTCATCGTGATTTTGTGACCTGTTACAACATCAAAGAATCAATTAATGCTCACAAAATATACTCTCAGGTAACGAAGATTATTTTGCTAATAAATGCACATGAAAAAACATTTGTTTGGATTTTTAGAATTATGACGCAATTTCTTGATTTTGTTCGAAATATAGCCTTTCCCTCATTACTAAGTTTGTCTATATCATATTCTGTGTTACTGTTACACAAACACGGTTTGTTAAGAATGTTTCTTTTATCCTTTCGCTTTTTTAACGATCGAATCTTATCGAGTCAGTTGCATAAGTCGACTTAGATAATGAGACTTCATTAGATCTGGGAACGCATGGACCTTGAAGATCCGGGTTAGAATTGATCTTCAGCAACCGATGTTTGTCGTAAGAGGTGACTTACGGGATCAGGAGGTCAGGCTCACTAACTTGGTTGACACATGTCATCGTATACCAATTGCGTCGATCGATGCTCATGCTCCATCATTTACAGACCGCCCCCAAATAGCTGGAATATTGCTGTGTGCGGCGTAAGACTAAACTCACTCACTCAGTGGGAACGCATGATTCCTTTTGATTACTGCCGACAAAACATGAGTTTGGTTTAACGCTCGTCTGAACACTATGTCAGTTACACCAGGGGAAAACCGGTGATGCGGATCATGGCCGTTTAGCAATTTAGTTCATCCTATGAGCACGGATATACAGCTGACCAAACGTGAACGGGACCCAACCCGTGTCACTGGATTCTGACACTTCTAAGGGACGCGACTCTGATAGTAATAATAATGCTAATTTTTGCGCCTAGAATCCAACGCGATGCTGTTCTCTGGCGTTACATTATTACCCTGACGGAATTGTACTTGTAAGCTGCTACTAAGCGCTAAGCGCGACCGTATAGGTCCGTACATCCGCTTTTCAGGTACCCATTTTAAACAGCTGGGTGGACTGAGTGCTATGTGGACGAAGTGCCTTGCCCAGGGACACAACACAGTATGAGACCCAGGTCACACATTTTGGTGTCTCAACCGGGATTCGAACCCGGGCCTTTGGCGTGAGAGGCCAGCATGCTAACCACTACACCACTGTGCTCCACACCAATGCTAATATGAGCGAGCTTTGGCAACAGGGACCCGTTTCACAATGCGATCGTAGCGCTATTACTGTCGTAAGTCTATGTTAAAGAATGCGAGTTACTGTCACCTTAGCGCCACGATCGCTTTGTGAAATATGGCCCTGGGCCCCTGTCACCCTCCGACTATTGGGAATATCTATCGATTTCTGAATGGCATCGCTGATGTTCAAGGATATCGTACCTGTAATTAAGGAGTTTTTTCAGATACAAGAGGTTAAACTGTATCTGTACAGATACACTTTAATGAACATCCAGCTTAGAAACATCCCACAACAGACATATTGATACAACAGATATGTAACATAGAGGTACTTACCGTAATGGGTGCCTTGCTTGTGACACCACTGACCAGAAATGTTTCCATTTTAAGGAAAGTCGGGTGTCCCTGATTGGACGATGGTCTTTGAGGTGATATCTCATGGACCAATAGCAGTTGATCATGCCAACCCCAGTATATGAGCGTTATCTTAAGTCTTGGACAGTGGCACGGGGATTGTTTGTCGTACAAGGTTTATCTGTAGCTCGAAAACGTCCATCTTCTTATCTGTTATCTTGTGACATTGCAGAGAAACCTTGCATTATGTGTCGTAACAATGTGTAAGACTTTGATGCGGGAATCATCCCTGGCGATACAACTATGGATTACCCGATAACTGTACGTACATCGATAATATTGTACTTAAAGCTTTTACCGTGTAAACCTTGTACCCTGGGTGTAATCTGGTGATAAGATATTTGAGTCGGATGTTTCTTTGAGGAATGGGATGCGTATCTACTTTTTACAATGTTTCCTACTGCATTTAAATTAAAAAACAAAATATACTGTACATTCCCAGCTAAATTAGATAGTTATTGTATTATCTGTAACTTTCAAATTTCTAATTATTGACGTGGGAGATTTTAAGAAGCATTGCATACACCCTTTACGAATTTTAAGATATTTCATATATGTATTTTTACGCCAAAGAGTAACCAGCCTCTAGTCGACGTTATACATTTGTTCTGTCTACTCTAGTTGGTGTTTACAATGTGTTCTTTACACTGTAGTGGGTGTATCCTCATATACGTTATCATTGTGGTTTGTATACTCCAGTGTAAAATGGTAAATAAAGTAAATAGTGGGAGCACTCCTTACATACCATCTCAATGTGTTTTGTATACTCCAGTGTTAAATTGTAAATATAATAAACAGTGGGAGCACAAAAAGTGTCAACAACGTCTTCATCTCATGCGTAAATTGAGATCTTTTAATGTTTACCCATCTGTGATGTCATCTTTTTATGTAGCATTTATTCAGAGTATTTTAACATTTTCCTTCCATTGTTGGTACGGGTCTCTCTCAGTTCATCTCAAAGCTAAAATAGACAAAATTGTTAACACTGCAAGTAAAATCGCTGGAGTCAGATTTGAATGTTTATCATCAATATGTGAGCGGCAAATAATGAATCAAGCTGTCAAAATCATATCTGACCCTACTCACTACTTAAATTCGGAACAAAACCTTCTCCCTTCAGGCCGCCGATACAAAGTTCCAATTGTGAAAACTAAGAGAGACCGTACATCCTTTATTCCAAGTACCATATCTCTCTTAAACAAATGTGAAGATGCCTAAATCAAAGAATTTATGTAAATATGTTTGGTATCTCTCTAATGTGTCAGTAGCTCTGCTGATGTAACACAAATTCCTGAAAAGGCATTAAAGTATTATTCTATTCTATTCTATACTCAAGTGTATATACCCCGTTTATACTGTGGTCTGTACACCCTAGTGGGTGCACTCCTTACATATCATCTCAATGTGTTGTGTATACTCAAGTGTACATATCCCGTTTATAGTGTGGTCTGTACACCCTAGTGGGTGCACTCCTTACATATCATCTCAATGTGTTGTGTATACTCAAGTGTATATATCCCGTTTATAGTGTGGTCTGTACACCCTAGTGGGTGCACTCCTTACATACCATCTCAATGTGTTGTGTATACTCAAGTGTATATATCCCGTTTATAGTGTGGTCTGTACACCCTAGTGGGTGCACTCCTTACATATCATCCCAATGTGTTGTGTATACTCTAGTGTATATATCCCGTTTATACTGATTTCTGTACACCTTAGTGGGAGCACTCCTTACATATCATCTCAATGTGTTGTGTATACTCAAGTGTATATATCCCGTTTATACTGATTTCTGTTCACCTTAGTGGGTGCACTCCTTACATACCATCTCAATGTGTTTTGTATACTCAAGTGTATATATCCCGTTTATACTGAGTTCTGTACACCTTAGTGGGAGCACTCCTTACATACCATCTCAATGTGTTTTGTATACTCCAGTGTACATACCCCGCTTATAGTGTGGTCTGTACACCCTAGTGGGTGCATACCTTAGATACTGTCGAATTGTGTTTTTATGCGCCAGTATAAACGGGGTATATACATGTACTGTGTTCTGGATACTTCAGTGACTATATTTTACTCATATGTGTACTCCAGTACATATAAACCGTTTATGCTGTGAAAGTATTTTCTGTATTTTTTAGTGGCAGTACTCCTGATATATTGTTACATCAGTGGGGCAGCCTAGTGGATAAAGCATTCGCTCGTCACGTCGAAGACCCAGGTTCGATTCCCCACATGGGTACAATGTGTGAAGGCCATTTCTGGTGTCCTCCGCCGTGATATTGCTGGAATATTGCTAAAAGTGGCTTAAAACTAAACTCACTCATTCACATATTTTTACATAGCGTTCTATATGCTTAACTGAGTAAACTCTATACATAGCATCGTATTGCCCGTATAGCCGAGTGTGTATACCCAATATATACCGTACATATCAACTGAGTTCTGTCTAATAGTGTTTATACCCCATACGCGCGGTCACATATTTGTTCTGTTTACATCAATGTGTATAGCTCATATAGTGCAGTTTATGTTCTGTATACTTTAGTGTACACTAAATAGACTGTGGTATGGAGCTGAATATACTCGTTAATGCATCCTTATATCCATGCTGTCTTACTGGGTGTGGTATACTCTTTTTATCCAGTATGTTTGAATATTTCCTCCAAGAAAACAGGTTTCCCACATGTTTGTAAAAATTAAAAACATAAGGTTTTTCCAAGATATTTTTATGGATTAAACTTCTTTTTAATTTCTCTCACGACGTTTCGAGACCATTCCAGGTCCCTTCATCAGGTGAACTTACATACCATCTCAATGGGACATATGTTTACCTGATGAAGGGACCTGGAATGGTCTCGAAACGTCGTAAGAGAAATTAAAAAGAAGTTTAATCCATAAAAATATCTTGGACATCAATGTACAACTTCTAAATGCCAGTGAAAGACATAAAGGTTTTCCTTAAGAGGAACATTTTTTTATGGATAGACAACTTCGATTTCTATATTGCAATAGATGTTACGTTTCGGTGTAGATGCTAACACTATTGCATCTATTGCAACAATGAAGTTGTCTATCCATAAAAAAAATTCATCTTCATTATTCCAGCTTCGAAATGACACTCAAAGGTTTTACTGGTTCGATCATTCCAAGAAAAAGAATTGTAGCAGAAATATGTAAAGTCCCTGGCAAATGTCTCTCATAGCAAACGTGCGAATATTGCTACCCCAGGGAAGATTTCGGATCAACTTAGGCCCGTCGTACCTTCTAATGTACAGACTTGACTGAATGCTTGTCACCGTGCCTGGTGAAAATAAGAATTGCCAACCATATGTCCCAATGCAATATAAACAACGAATATATGCATATGTTTGTGTACAGTTACTAAGTGAATATACAACTAATATAAAAAATATAAAATATAGTCTACAAAATATGTATGTTTTGATCCAAAGACACTTGCATAGTGATATATTTTATGTTTATTTAACACACCACAAAGAACATGTAAAATCGTTCATGAATCTTATATGCCTTGACAGTACCGTTAACACTGGAAGGTATTTAGGGATGGCATCAACACATTGCGTGTTCGCCTCGTCTCTGACTGTATTATTCTTGGCCTTGACTCGTTTCCATGGAAACGTCAGCCATTGTAGTTAACCTCAGACATATATGATGGAGCAGCTTTCTTTGTGACTCCTCATATGATCTCAAGATTTACTTTGTCCATGTCTCCCAACCAAGGCCGGGTTCAAGGTCAGAGGGAACAAGAGATGTACTCAACAGTACACACGAGGTGTTGGAAGGCTCAAAACTAAAGCTCCGACAGGCTTCTGCTACTGCGCAAGATGATGCGCATCGTATCCGGGAAGGCGCGACCAGTTCCGCTAAGACAAGGCCCATTCTGTTTTTCTGGTCCTCCCCGATCCTATGCCAATGTCCTGTTATGAAGCCTGCAAATAAAATATTACATGTAATAAAAAAATATGGTTGGGTGATCTAAGGAATTGAATTTCAGGTTTTAGGTGCTCATCTCGAGCATGACAAGCGCTGTGCTGTTCACTGTTAATTCAATCTGCTTAAAGGGTATTCTAATATAAGTACAATGCGCAAGGTCTGAAATAGTTACTCACACGCATAAAACTAACTATCAGCCCTGAGGGAAGCCACCATATAATTTATTCCAAAAAATACGTATTTATATCACGATATTAAATTAAAAAGTTCGAATGGATTAATGCAACGTTGCATTAAATTGCCTCTCGCGCCCTCTACCAGCCGAACATTATTTCAAGCGAATCCCATAGAGTTATGTCCCTTGGAGCGCACTTTATGAATATCCACAACTTGTGATTGAATCGAGTTCGGCACGGGGCGGTGGGGTGGCCCAGTGGTTAAAGCGTTCGCTCGTCACGCCGAAGACCCGGGCTCAATTCCTCACATGGGCACAATGTGTGAAGCTCATATCTTGTGTCCCACGCCACGATATTGCTGGAATATTGCTAACAGTGGCGTAAAAGCAAACTCGCTCACTCACCAGCTCGGCAAACACCGACAACACGG